AATAGTCCAGTCAAATAAGAAAAAATAAAAACATTAATCGGTAAAGATCTGAATTTTGGTACACATGTTCATTAGTGTTCCCTATTGGACATACTAAAAGTCCCCGTCAAAATCTGTTGCGCTCGAGGCGCCATCCTGGAAAAAAGGAGCACTTTTTCAGTTTCTTGCCTATATATCGGCAACAATTATCGATACGGAAAAATAGTTCAGATAAAAAATATAGTTTATTAAATTGCCCACAAAAAAGCATATTAACATTTTTTTGTATGTCCAATACTTTAGCTATAATCCGACATCGAATAGGGAATCAAGTATCCTGAGCTCTCGAAACAGTCGCGCAGATATTTTTTTACAGCTTTTTACAAATCATTAAATTCATTGAAAATTCTACCAGTATTTCTTATATATGCGAAGTCGTCGCACTCAAGCTTGGTATGAGACACGTTTAAAGGTTTCTCATAAAACTTTCTCTCAATAGAACTTTCATCTTCAATGTGAGCACTGAGTGTGGACTGGGAGCCTTCAGTGCAGTCCGAACAGGGTCAAGGTAATTCTGAAGGTCTGATAACGATGTCGGTTTTAATATCTCTCACTAGCAGGCACGTTATACTTATGCAGATAAGGGCGTTCTTCAGCTTCAGAAATCACATCGTTGCTCCAACACTTTTACACATTTTCGCTTACCTTTTTGAAAAAAACATGATATATCATCAAACATTATGTCATTGCTAGAATGCTTTATCGCACGACAATTCTGTTCATTTTTTGGCTCTGTTACAGCTATCGGTGTAGTCATAAAAAAGACGGCCTCCTTCTATAACTACGATACGGGGCTTAAACGCGTTCTGACGTATTCAACATGAGATTACAGCTAAGTATTGGAGATACAAAAAAAATGTAAATACTCTTTTTTATAGGGAATTTAGTAAACTATATTTTTCATGTAAACTATTTCTTCGTGTCAGTAATAATTGCAGAGATATGGGCAAAAAACTGGAAAAGTGTACCGTTTTTCCAAGATGGCGTCTCGAGCGCAACAGATTTTGACAGGGACTTTTAGTATGTTCAATAGAAAGTCCCAATAAATGTGTATACCAAAATTCAGATCTTTACCAATTAATGTTTTTATTTGTCCAAAATTGTGCTAATTTGACTGGACTAATACCTAATCATTGTTTTGTTATAAACATATATGGGTATGTAAAGATACGTAACAACCTCATCAGTCATCACAATTGTTTTACCTGTAAGCATTCTTCTTACGTAGCTGCCTTTGCTGCAGGAATAAAGGAAAAATGTGTAAAATACATATATTATGAATAAATAAAGCAATACAATTCAAATATCGGAACAAACTACTACACTTCAAGAAATAACATTACACAAATAAAAGCAACAAAATTCATAAATCAAATGCGAGAAAGCATAATGAGGAACAATATTTACTGATACTACCTACAATATATACATTATAAAATATATATAAATTCAAAACTTATACAATGCATATAACATAACACAAATAAGATGATAATCTCGATGATAATATACTTCGAATATTAAATATACGCATTAAACATTAACTATTTAAACATTTTTTCTTCTAGAAAATCTTTGTTGAGCAGAACGGAACCAATCAATTTCAGCTTGCTCAATTGCTTGGTCTTTTAAATCACGAACTGCTTCTACAGAATAATAACATAAAATATCAATTCGCGTATAATCAGTTTCTCTTACCAGGCATGACTTTAATTAACTGTAAATTTTCAACACTGTGATTTTGCTTCCGACCCCTCCACAAGCAAATGGTAGCAAAGTCAAAAACCTTTGAAAGCATTTTAAAAATTGTAGTTCTTTCATTTGACCCGCTTGAACGTTTTAATAGTTGAAGCTAGATAAAATGTAATAATAAAGTTTTTACCTAGGTTTTTACCAAATACATAGTAAAGATATTTACCAATGCTGTCGATTGAGCTTCCTGCTCAAAAAGTTCTAGTTCATCAATTGTTTTGATTGGCAGTTCCGTTGATAGAACTGGTACATTTTGGTGGATCTGCGCAATGTTTAACTTTTTCTTTATGGCTATTAATCGTAATCGGTCTGTATGACTTTGTAATAGTAAATCGCATTTCACCACTATCATGAATATTTTGAAGCAAACTATAAACTGCAATTAAGATATGTAAAGACATACTTCATTTAATAGAACACGTATAATATACCTGCTTCATTTGTAAGAACACTATCCATTGGGGAAGGCAGATCTGGAGTATTAGAATGAAGCGAGGTTCTATCTTGCTGAGAAGGAATGATCACCACAGGTATATCTGTCAACGACATGTCAATATTTGATATTTGTTCAGCAGCAGTTGATATATCTTCAGCAGGAGTTATACTAGGAAGAGGTAAAGGTGATAATGAATCGTCTTTTGGGTGTTCATACTGGAAATCATCAATTTGGGTAGTAACTTTGTTTTGTGCTGTATCTTCTTCTACCTCAGTTTTTTGCATCTTCGTAAGTGTCTAAGTATATATAATATACATTATAAACGCAAAAATGGAGGTGACACAATACCAATCATTTTTTCGTACCGTAGTAATATCCTACCACCATGACTGATGTTACTGCCCATGTTTTGTCTGGATTCCTTTTCAAGCGAAATGATTTTTGGTATTCTTTCAATGCCAGATAACTTAAGTAAGTGACATTGTCCTTTTGGTGAAGCCATTTCTTTAAAACGATAGTGTACTGCTCTCCATCCTTCTCAGATACAGGAAGATCATAGACAACTGCATAACTATTTGGCTAAAAAATAAGATGATTTTAATACAAAATGCACACAATTCATAAATATTATTACATTATTGAACTTCACATTTGGTGCAGTAAAGGCATCACAAAAAAAATTTCCATCATAGTCAGGAACTTGGATACATTTGCAAAGCACATCTTTATGAGAGAATGTTTCTTCGGCGAAGTCTAATGTAAAATTATGTTCAATGGTATGTATTTTTAAAAATGTAGGATACAGATTACAGGTTTGAGCGTTTCTAATTTTTCTTCCTTTTATCATGATCACCAATGAACTGACAATTTTTGTGATTTGAATTATTGTGTTAGATTTTGGTAAAATACAATTATTTCTCGTTGTAGTATAATTGTATAATTATACGTTGTAGTAATTTTTATAACAGCAAAATCACATTAATTACATTTCCTCGCTCACTTTGTTTTGCTACTATCTGCGTTATATAGATTTGGATTAGCCGTAGGTATTAAATAGGTACCTACTCGTCAGGCACGTGCGATGAAAGCAAAGAAAGAAAAATGTTTTGATTTAATTGATGCAGTGAATGCCGATGAGCGATGTGTCTGTTAGTGTGCGTACGAATTGTGCGCGTTTGTAGCTGCACAAAGTGTAATCTGAATGACAAGGAACGAACCGTGCAGTGTGCTTGTGCTTGCACTCATGGCTCAAACGTATAATAACACGATTACCAACAGCAACACCAAAATGTGCTGGTGAGCTGGAAGCTCTTTTTTTTAGAGTCGTTCGTTCGCAGCACACTCAACTGTGCCACGCTCGACCCGCTCACGTGCGACCCATCACTACTTGATGATACCCGACGGCGAAATTTTCCATCTTTACGCGCGGGCATGTCAATACCCAATTTTGCATTCCTTTCTGGCAGCTGGAAGACCTAAGAAAGTTCTTTGAAGGTGAAATTCTTTGGGTTAGGGAGTTCTAACCGCTTTCTTTACTGTGTCGTTTTCTTTGCGGAGTTTTTTTCTCTACTGCAGTCGGTCGCCTAAGTACCTTGGGTTGATTTGGTTTTTTTTCTTTTCTACAGCTTGTGGGACCCAAGTAACACACATAATATATTTTTAATAAATATTGCATATATTGTTAAAAATGTATAAAGTATAATATGTTTAATACATTCTGAGTAAACTTTTTTGTTCTATTAATATAATATTTTTCTCATAAAAAAGCTATTAAATAGATTCAAAACATTTATTAAATAGGAAAAAAGGAAATTTTATTTTATAAAAATCAAATATAAATAAAATACATACAAAATACTAACACTAACTCATACAATATAACAACAAAATAAAAATAATACATGCATTCTCCTTATTCCAATTCAACGTCTTCTTTACTAGGCCCCATTATAATGCTTGACCTAACAACAAGAGAAAACTATTTAGTTCTATAATCAAATATTCGGTTATTATTGTGACATTAATTTTGGCAGAAAAAAATTGAAACTTAATTGAATCAATAAGTAAAATCGAATTTGTTACAAGAACTTGTCAAGTACAATTGCTTGCTGGCAGCTACTCTAGAATACACATTTTCCAACTATAACTATTAAGTTTCACTTTCTACACTTAGCAAGAATCTTGATTAGGTTTACTGCTCATAAAATTACAATTTACCAATTTTTACAATTATAACACAGAGAGCAAACTTTCCAGTAAATCTTGTAAAAGTTTTGGTACAACCCAGACAACACAAACATATCTTATGGACAGCCATTTGCAATACAAAAATGGACATCTGTTTTATCTTATGTATATCCACTTTTGGATATGGTACATAAAATGGATGTCCATAGGATTATACGGATGACACAAACTTGTACATCCATGTATAATCCACATATGTATCCTTTTTGGATATCCACTGGAAGTACTTCATACATACCCAGTCAACATTGTAACGTAACCGATTCATAAATATAATAGTTAACTAGGTGGTTCATTATGTATCTAGTAACTTAAATGTTACATGCAAGTAACACAAAACGCCTAGCACTGTTATGTAACGGTGTAACGTAACGAATACGTCACGCTATGTAACATACATGTATATATATATGTTACATGAACGTAATAAGTAACACAACGGAATGTTACAACAAATAACCCAGTTATGTATCGTATATACAAACATACATTACATTAGGGTAATATGTAATGCAACTGAAGGTTTAAGCAAATATGTAACATTACGTTGCATGGGGGTTGTATGTAACGCAACTGAAGGTTACAGTAAATATGGTAGTTACATAACAAATATGTATATCTTAGTATACATGAGAGCCTTATGTAACGCAAACGAAGGCTACAGTAATGTAAAAATAACTAAATGCAGCAGTGAAAAAATAAAGATATATTCTTATAAAATAAAACAAAATAACAATTCCTAAAAATGTAGAATATTATCACAATAGATACATTTCAAATATTCATTAATAATATACAGGGTGTCCCTAAAAGATCTGTACAACGCGCTACCAGGGGTTCTTGGTATCAAAATAGGACGATTTAACCCTACTTACCTCTATCCAAAAGTGCTTCGTTAAGGCGCTATTTGCCGCCAAAGATTCAAAAAACAAATCGTTATTTTTATTTTATCGGAAAATGGTTTTGCCGATTAAAATGAAAGTCGGGATGTGAATGTCTAATGTAAAAAGGGTCTTTGTGATATCATCGTTTTGATTGTAGTTGCTATGTAGGTGGTAAAATACTGACCATCCACATCTGAAGAGGTCTAAAACTTTTTAACTACTATTTTGACGGTTCTGAATTTTTAGACACTGATAGACAGTTTACTTGCAAGCATTTTTTGTCTCTTGATGAATATCGCTATCTGTGATGGTTTACGAAAAAAAAAAAATTTAGGCATGATGAATGGCATGCACCATACATGCGATTGTTCCTCAAAAAATCAGAAGATGGCTGTTAAACCTTAGAGTGGCTTAACGTTTGTTTGTTGTTTCTTAAACTTTAACAATTACGTTTTGCTTGAAGACTTAAAACTTTAAAAAATAACGTACCAATGTTGCAAAGGGCACAGTTTAATTTATTACGCCGTATAATGCTTTGTATGCGTGAAAATGGTGGTCACTTTGAACATTTAGTACGTTTAAATTAATACATTACATTGACTTACTCTGTTGTGTTCGTTTATTCTACATTACTTGCTTGCACTACGGTTTCATAGCCTACTTCTTGCTTGCACTTATGGTTTTTGAGGAACAATCGCATGTATGGTGCATGCCATTCATCATGCCTAAATTTTTTTTTTTTTCGTAAACCATCACCAATAGCGATATTCATCAAGAGACAAAAAATGCTTGCAAGTAAACTGTCTATCAGTGTCTAAAAATTCAGAGCCGTCAAAAAAGTAGGTAGTTAAAAAGTTTTAGACCTCTTCAGATGTGGATGGTCAGTATTTTACCACCTACATAGCAACTACAATCAATACGATGATATCACAAAGACCCTTTTTACATTAGACATTCACATCCCGACTTTCATTTTAATCGGCAAAACCATTTTCCGATAAAATAAAAATAACGATTTGTTTTTTGAATCTTTGGCGGCAAATAGCGCCTTAACGAAGCACTTTGGGATAGAGGTAAGTAGGGTTAAATCGTCCTATTTTGATACCAAGAACCCCTGGTAGCGCGTTGTACAGACCTTTTAGGGACACCCTGTATAATAAAATTATTGATTTTGGAGAGGTTTTTCTCTTGACTGTCTCAGCGTGCTTAAGTGTAACCACTCACCCACCGTCAATTCAATGGCACTTTCGGTAGTGTCGGGGAAAGTTTGCCGAACGGCATCTGGATAAAAGAAAGTTCTATAAGACAAACTGCGTTTCCACCAAAACAGCTTTCATTATGTAAAAATAGTGTTGCTTACTTAAAATATTATTCATCAATTCCAAATGCTTGAACGGAAAATGATTCCTTTTCCCAAGAAGGGAACAGCTAATCCCCAAATAAAAAAAGGTAGAATATAAATTTATACTTACACAAACACTGAACCAAAACAACACCGACTTATTTCAATATAGCGTCAAAAAGAACTTTATCTTTCGCTTGAGGTTGACTGTTGAGGTTATGTGTCCCGCAGCCGTTAACCTTTACTTTTCACTAGAGGTATATGCGTACTTCTTTTCAGATATACTTCACCTAACGAAATAGGTAATATGAATTAATTGTATTAGAAAATAACGGTTTAACATCAAAAAGAAACATTATTACGTGTTTGGTATAGAACATTCCAACTTCTATGTTACATATCATTTCGATTACAATTGTAACATAACTTTGTTACCTTCTAGAGCCCTTTCAGTTATGTAAGTGATTATTACGTGTTTGGTATAGAACATTCCAACCTCTATGTTACATATCATTTCAGTTACAATTGTTACATAGCTTTGTTACCTTTTAGAGCCCTTTCAGTTACATATCATTTCAGTTACAACTGTAACATATCAATGTTACTTAGTAGAGCTCTTTCAGTTATGTAACTGAGAGTTACGTGTTGACTGGGTACATAATTGTAACATTTCACATGGATGGACATCCATAGAACGTTACTTGTTTTACCAACCAAATTAGATAAAGAAAGGAGACATAGATAATAAAATAAAATTTTATTCGTTGTAAAACATAAATAAAAAACAAACCATTTTCTAAAAAAATTAACAATCATTCAACATACATATATAATATACCTAATATAACTACTTCTTAGCATCGTGTCGTTCCTTGGCTCTTCGCAGCCATTTTTTTATCGCCTCAGTTGCTTTCTTATCACTTTTCAAGTTTGATATTGCAGCGGCTTCTGTAATTAAAATATTGGTATCGCCTTGGGGTGCGCACTAAAATGTGTGCAGTCACTATTAACAATATAAAATTCTAAGGTCACTTACCTAACAAAAGATCACACAATCTCAAGCTCTTGAAAATTTTCTTTTTTTTGACCCCATAGTAGGAATATTCTTTTGCTACTTCGTCCGTAATTAGTACACTCAAAGACCGCCTAACAAAATCATAAATATTGGAACCTCCAATTCTTGAAATATCTTCGACCTAAAACAGAATAGGTATCTGAATCAGTTTAAAATTGTAGTAATAAATAATAATAAAAAGGAAAGTTTAAGGAAATTCTGTAGAAATTTTATGGATATAAGGGATTTCAAAGGAAGTAGCGTTACACATTTTTTTACTTACCGTCCCCTTGAAATTGATGTCAGATTTTAAATAAGAATCCAGTTCCTTCAGTTCCATTTCTCCGTTAATCGGTAAATGGAAATTATTCAAAAAATTTTCTCTATAAAATTCTTTCGTTTTGTTGCCATGAAGTTTTTGCACATCCTCATTAAACTGAAGAAGTGAAGCTTTCATAGTTGTTAATTGCCTTAATATTTCTCTTAACATGTTTTCTAAAAAAAAGCACATACTACAATACACACATTGTGAAATGGCTGGTCAATTTAAAAACAATAAAGTGTAATTTTAGAACAATTTTAAAACTAAATATACATACCATTTTTAGATTGATGTAATTGACATGTACAGCTACATGTGGTGCTTTTAGATCGAATTACAGCCTCCGGGCGAAATTCACTAACTGATAGAGTACCGACTGAGCTAGGAGTAACAAGTTGATTGCTTATTATGTGTAAATTGTTGTTGTCTGTTGTTGCCTTTGAAGTTTTCTTACTATTTCTTTGGGACTGATTATCATCTATACACAGATACTTATATTAGGTACCAGTTATTCTCTATGTATAATAAACCTTACATTTCAGCACAGGTGGCTTCTTCATAACAATTGTGTCCTCTTCACTGTCTGTAGAATCTGCCATATACCTTCTAGACGGTACTGTTTTTCTTTTAGTAGAAACGTGTTCGTCATCTGTTGTATTAAGATCAGATGTAAATTGCGCGTTGGAAGACTTTTTACATGCAATACCATAGTCCTCTACAAAATCATGAATTCAATTAGTTTATTATATAAAAAGTATTCTATTTACAAGTACAGATTGTCCCTTACTATATGTGCTATCTTTAAAAATTCTGATGTCATACAATGGCCAGCAAGTATTTGGTTGAGAATTCTGTTTAATTTCATGTAAAACTTTGTCCCTAGCTTGTGGTGGCCAATAACACTGACCATTAAAAATCCATTTGGTTGGAACAGCTTCCACTTCTTTGGTCTCCACAAACTCCACCACAGTCCAACTCATTATCTAAAAGAAAAATTAACAAGCAGTTATATTGCATAACCATTCGAGGAGGGAAATATTCAGATATATACCTAATGGTATCGGTTAAGTGAAATGCAAAAAAAAAATTAATTATTGTTAATTATGGGTATAAATTTTCATTCTTTCTTTAGTCAAAAAAGTAATGGCTGTTGGCAGGTATTATGTAAAAGAATTAATAATATATACAGACTTATGATACTATAGCTATAATATTTAAATGTTCATATTTTATCACTAAATATAAATGTTGATTGAAGCAGAATAACCCACTAACAATGGTGCATAGGAAAAAGGACATAATTTGAATCTTTTAATTTAAGTTTAATATATTTATGAACAATTTGCTCTATTTCCCACTCCACACAAGAGCTGGTGTCTTCTGTATTCACCAAATAAATTCCTAAAGAAGAGGATGGGCATGGTGTACAATAAAAATCATCTGCCACTCAATTGTTGTACAGACTCTAAAAATAAAAATAAATTTCTTTTACTGTATTCAGTGGTTTTTAAGACTTACTCGATAAGTGGCAAACTCCAAGCGGCAATGTTTTCAGAGTGACTGGCTTATCTGATATACAAAAGTGTGATTTTTTTGAAATATTACACATACTTTTATATGGTGCTGGTAATGCCCTCATTGATGTTGAGGATGCTGTTGAGGTGGAGGGTGCCACTGAAGGGTAGGTAGTTGTATATATAGGTTTCTTTTAAAGCCTTGATTTCTAGGAGATTTCCTAGGCGAATTTCTTGCTATTTTGGTGGGGGGCGGATATGACCTCTCGGTACTCTCGCTCTCTGCTGACGATGATGATCGCCTCTTAGTGCGCATTAAAATATAAATTCAATACTTCTGCCATAATCAGTTATAAAAAGGAAAGTATCTACATCCATGAATATTATTTATAGAATGAGCATTATTTTCTAGTAGAACTCATCATAATGTTCCTTGACAATTGTAATTTTTATAGTCAGCCAGTCATCTTCTGGGTATGTACAATTTTTTGCGAACTTTGTAGCACTAGCTGCTCCCTTATCAGGATACCTCATTGCAGATGGCGACATTATCCAAATGCTTGGAATGCAATCAAATTCCTCTTCATCATCCTCCATAATTTTTTGAATTACCGACCACTGTACAATGTACATTCAAAAACAAATCATTCATTTCTCATTCTCTTGCCTCTTTAAAATAACTAAAAATATAAGTAAAGAAATTACCATAGAATTACAAACCACTTTAGAATAATCCAATGCTATCTTGTTATATACTTATGTTTGTCGCCAACATAAAACCAGAGACTTTTAATCACATAGACTGGCACTGTCAAAACGAAGTTGAATCAAAAATGTGGGCGCCATGCTTATTACTTCAAAGAGCGGCAAATTTGAACTGTTGACTGCAATTAATATTTTTACTTGTCTCCTCCTTATAAGATTTCTATTTGCCCTAAAACGTGTGAACAATAAGAATCATAAAAAACATTACAAATATTTATTGTCCACGAAATAACACCATTTTTGTACATTTTTGTCGTATGTTTGTTCCTCGTTCTTTTTCATTTAATAATATACACATATGTCTTATCCTAACAGCTACATACTTAGTTAAAATAAGGGAAAGTAAATTATTGAAATGTAATTCTAAATTAGACAGATTTGATTCATGATTTTGGAATTGATTTTTATAATTATTGAATAAATCTAAGCCTACACTTTGAACTGTACCAACAAATACTTTGTTAAATATATCTTTGGTTAATTTTAATTGCAACACATTTTGTAATATCCGCTCTGCAGCATAGCATAATGTTTTTGTGAATTCTGACGGCACAAATAAGTAGTCACCGTAATCTTTTATTGCAATTAGTCCATTTTTAGGTGCATTAAAGTCTATAGCAATCTCCTTACACCCATTACATGTTACACAATCATTCACTCTTTTTGCACAATGATCAACTTTATTGGCATCCACTTGTATTTGTCGCAATGTCTCCATTGTAAATCCAGCTTCTGCATTAACCTCTGCAGTCCAACTTCTAATAGTTCGTGGATGTGGTAAGGTCATGCATCCACGCAAAAAATTATATGCATGCGAGGAGTAGAAATGCATCGATACTGCAAATTTCTTAATTGTTTCAGAGTAATGTTTTGCTTTTGATCCTTTTTGTAGTTTTATGATTTCCTTTAATAAGTCACTAAGACTTACCACCTTTACATATGTTAAGTGAACGACAGTTTTGCAATTCAGTTTTTATTTCAGAAATTGTTGCATGTAGTGAATTTATTACTTTCTGTAAACGACGGATTTTTTGTTGTGATAAAATCATTTTGTGAGATTGATTGTTTCTCCTTCGTTAAATAGTCAATTCTTATCTTAGAATCCTCCGATTCCAAATATTGATATGAATGCACTGTTTTAATGTAATTATACATTACAGACTGATTGTACGCTTTTGAAGGATCTTTCACTTGGACTTCCGAAACGACTTCACGTTTATCGTGGTCATTAAACTCCATAAAAAGAAGTTTGCGAGGTTTCACATCTTTGTATTTTCTATGTTCCTTTGTTCTTTTGCCCATTGCTATTTGTACATTGTGTACTGCCTTTGGAGGAGTCTTAAAACAACTTCTTAATTGCAATTAATATATACAAAATAACTTACCTTGTACAGCGATGATATCGGAACAGCATCATCTTTCAAACTTTTCTTGTCTGTGTGCATTTTATAGTCAGAATGAATAAAATGGTCTGAGCAAACTACAGCACTTTTACTAAACTTAACAATTTTCAAATTTAGCAGCCAGCGGCTTAATAAGAATTTATTCTTTACAGGTAACATAAGTATATAACAGTGCCCAACAAAACAAAAGTGTGGTTATAACTCTCCCAGTAAACAAATTTACTTACATACTACCTCAATTTTATATCACAATGTTATTTGTTATGTAACATCTCAAGTAACCTATTTTGATATCTAGATGTGACTTCTAATGTCACACTCATGCAGTTTACATATGTGATAACTCTGAAATGGTACATCACTGTGACTTCACTGTTGTGTGCATGTTATTTATTTGTTGCATGCATATTGAACTTTTAACAATGTGATGTGACTCTACTTTTACATACATGCTCAACATTTATAATGTGCATGTAATACTATTGTAGCTTTACGAGATCCATGGAAGAGAATACCAGAGTGAAAATAAAAAGGACGTAATAGGAAGCAACGGAAAAAGATAGTACTTCTACCATTGCTTCCTATTCGGCGCATTTTTTGTTCTGGTATTCTCATTACCACCCAGCTGATCCTCAGCCAACTTTTCTCTATATGTGTCATCCGTTTCTTTGTCCATTTGTTTTTATACTTAAAGTCTGTGTACGTCCTTACTTAAATGCACGCTGAAATGATGGTATCAAACTGTGACATTTTCAGGTATTAAGGAATAACAAATCTAAATCGTTTAGAAGTAATGAAATGATGAAAAAAAGTAAGAAATTAATTATTTAAACATTTATTCTGAAGTTAACATAAGTAAATTCTAGTTATAACTCAAACAATATCGCATACATAACAAATTTTTAAAATAAAATTAATTGTGAAACGCGTAATTTGTAACTACATTATTTTTTTTCCCTCTGAAACCTCTGTTTTGACAGACGGAACCATTCGCATGCATTCCTCTCCACGTCGCTTAACTGTATGAGGTTATTGTAGCGCATCATAACTGTGTCTAAAAATACTTGCATTTTATAAACAAAAAATAACTAAAAATTTGTAAATGTCAATTTTTATGCTTGTCACACATTGAGAAATGCTCGTCAATGGGTAACGAGCTTTTATAAGTTATAACATCAGATACATACCTACTATGATTTGCATGATGCAAAGGTTTTGTACTTTAAAATTACCGCGCAACCCGAGCCAAGAACAATAAGTGCCTAGCTCGTTGGTAAAAGTACGTGACAAACATCGGTTGATATTGTCTTTCGGATCCCGGCCTCCTATATTTTTCATAAATTGAATCTAAAAAAAAAACAAATTTGGATCCGTGTAATATCTTGAGATATACAATGTGATCAAAAATGAGTGTCTGTGGAGACACCTTTGGAATTTTTGTTTACATAGAACTTCCAAAAGCGACTAGACGGACACTCATTTTTGATCGCCCGTTATGTATATATATACTTTGTACCAAGAAAGTAACCAGAAATCAAAATTAAATGACAAAAAAACAAACATATTTCACGCACCAATGTGCTAAAAATGTTATTTTAATTCTTAGCAACATGTTAGTAAAAGTTAAATAAACCGCTACCCATATACTTACAAATGATTCTTTTAAATCGGGGGATTAGTTCAATTCATCTTCAAGTTGTTTGAGCTTATCAAGATCAACTAATGGTAGCCATTTACAAAATTTTTCCTTCTGCGAAACATTAATCTCGCCCTCTTTGAGAGACATGTTTCTTAAAATTTTATAAATATCATTAATGCACTTCTGGTTTTCCAAACATATGTATTTTAATTGATCAATAGAATTATGCAAATCTTGCACAGTAATATTGCCTGAAAAAGAGCAACAATTTTATTTTCTACACAGAAAAAATAGCATCTACCTTCAATATGAACTGGCAGCTCATTGATGTTAACAGTCTCTATTGCTAAGGGAGCGCCTACCGCTGTATGTTCTTGAACTGCAATATATTCAGTGCTATTGACATAATCGTCCACTGCTGCACCATAATTAAAATCTAGTTAAAAAAAAGTTTAAATTTCTGTCAATTGTATAATTAATATTTACTTGTTTCATTTGAATTCTCGGATAATGTGGGTAACGGCTCAGAAGCAGAAGAGCACACTGTAGTACCACGCAGATTATCTAGGAAAGGTAAACAATTTTCAATATTATCTTCAATAACAAACCCGATACCTTACCAGCTTCGTTGTTCCGTAGCGTTGACCTTGTTGATGGTGGTATGCAACCTGGTGATGGTGGTGGGGAACATTCATCGCTGCTTTCATCTGTAGAAACCTGCTTTTTGGTTATCTTTCTATGACCTCGGCCCGCAAGTGTCACGTCCTCCTGTGTTGAAGTGTATTCGGGGTTTTCCGCTTTTTTCCTCGCACCTTCCAAAGTACCTTGAAATAGAGTTAACAATTTTTTGATTTTATAAATTGAAATATAATTCAAGAGAGACTTACTGGAATATCCTTCAACTTCGATGTCGTACAACTTCCACTGTTCATTTGGTTTTTCACTCTTCACCATGTACGGACGAGCATTCAGGCTATTCGGCCACCAACATTGACGTTTGTCAGTTGTTAGCCAAACCGAAGGACCTCCGAATAATATGCGAAACTTGATCGGTAGTGCTAGCATCGTTGCTACCGTTTTCACATAGTAAAATAGGAAATGCTAGAGAAATACCCTCCGAAGAAACAGTTGCATTTGATTGACTACATTGTGGAAATGGGTCCTGTTCATTACATGATATAGAAATTATGTTTTTATCACATGATGAGTCTGTAATGCCAGAAGCCACAACATTTGCACATGAATTAACATCATTACAGAGTTTTGCTCTTTTTTTTATTTCTTCACAGACAATTCTGTTATCTTTGAAATGGAATAATGCGCAGAGAGTGAAGACAAAGATTTAATAATGAAAAACGAAAATTCATACATTACAAAACAAACGACATTTCTTATTATAGCGACTACATGCTTCATTCGTATATCTAACACTGTTGTCAAATATCCTAAGATCTAACTTGCAGGTTTGCCACATCATCATTATTTAACAGTTTAACACCCTCCCTCAAACCTGGCAACGTTACATCAAACAAACCTAACATTTTCACAAAAACATACCCAACAAACCTCGCTACATAACAGTTTTATAAATGCAATATAAATGTGTTACTTTATTAGTAACATGTTATATAACAAGCAGATAACATGTAAGTTGCTAGTAAATTGTAATTTCCCACTCAGCACAACATAACCAATATATAACAGATAAATCACATGTGATAAAACATCAACATTGTTGCAATGTAACGGGTTTAAGCCTGTATTAGACGGTAACTTTTTTTACAGCAGATTTGTTACAAAAAATTATTCACAAAAATCTGTTTACAATAAAAAGGAAGCAAATTGCCGACCTGTATTACATGAAATTATTTCTGTGAACAAAAATATTACGTGAGACGGCGCAGTAACGATTTTCAGGTAGTTGGTATGAATAAAAACACTACAAAATCATGTAGTTACTTTTGCTTCTCAAAGTTTGAAGTGTGAGATTGTACATAACCTATAGGTATTAATTGTTTTAAATTCAACAATTTATTATGAATTTTGCCAATGCCAAAAAAATAGGAGTGTTATCGGCTGCAGCTGGAGTAATATGCGTTTTACTAATGAAGCAGCTGAAACAAAAAACTAAAAAAAAAAGAAGAATATGGTCTGAAAAGTGGCTTTTAAAGCGGCAAGATGGAAGAGGTGTTCTACATATGTTAGAACAAGAATTGCGAACGGAGGATCCAGAATCTTATCGCCAATTTATTAGAATGTGTGGACAACATTTTGATGAACTTCTTGAATGTATACGAAGTGATATTGTGAAACAAACCACTAACATGAGAGAAAGTATTTCTGCTGAAGCAAGGTTTGAGATATAAAAAAGTTAATTCAAATTTAATTGAGTTTTACAGGTTAGCATTAACTCTAAGATTCCTTGCAACAGGAGAAACTTATCGATCTCTAATGTTTGCCACCCGAATACATGAAAGCACCATTAGCTTGATAATTCCTGACGTTTGTAATGCAATCTGTGAAAAATTAAAATCTGTATATTTACAGGTACATCATTACTATGTCCATATTTGTGTACTACTGATTTTGCTTTAGATGCCAACTACAGAATTGGAGTGGAGAGTTATTGCCTCCGAGTTTCAAAAACATTGGAATTTTCCATTATGTCTAGGTGCCATTGACGGAAAACATATAAATTTTAGGCCTCCACGAAGTTCAGGATCATACTACTTTAACTATAAAGGGGATCACAGTATTGTGCTTCTTGCAGTTGCAGATGCATCTTACAAATTTCTGTACGTTGATATTGGTGTCAATGGTAGAGTAAGCGATGGAGGAGTTTATAGAGAATCCTCCTTAAAATGGGCAATAGATCATAATACATTAAACTTTCCTCCCCATGAATGCTTACCTGGTCAAAATACACAATTGCCTTATACATTTGTAGCTGATGATGCATTCCCTCTGTCAACGAGAATCATGAAACCGTATCACAGTCGTGGATTGACAAATGAGCGAAGAATATTTAATTACCGATTGTCACGGGCAAGACGAGTAATTGAAAATTCGTTTGGCATCTTGGCCAATAGGTTCAGGATTTTATTAAATACAATAAATTTGAATCCTGATAAAGTTGAACTAATTACCTTAACTTGTTGTATTTTACACAACTTTTTATTAGAAAAAAATCCGAGATATTTAGAACCATCTGAAAATACCGAGGATAATATAGGTAAATTGAAAAAGTTGACAGATATGCAAGGTGGCAATAGAGCTGCCAGTGAAGCTTTAGAAGCACGAAATTTATTTTCAAGATTTTTTGTTACGAATGGGGCAGTACCATGGCAGAACGATGTTTTGTAATGACAGTGGTTATTTTGAAATTAATATAAACCAAAAATAGTATTGTTTCTTTCATTTAACACTTGTTTACATATTTACAAATCATTCGGCTTCTTCAATTTCGGCATTAAAAATCAGGGTCTCAATGTGATGCTGTAGTTTCAATTTCCTTTTTCTGCTTTGAATTGCACCGATCCGTGAACATATATATTTTGCGTATACTTCATCGGGATCTTCTGTGGAAGTCCCAAGTACCGATGACACTGCGGTAGTTAACTTATCTAATGCTTTCGAAGCTTTTTCGGTAACGTCGACATTATGATTTCTGTCGTCTTTTTTGTATTTTTTCCGAGCAGATCTACAAGTTGCAGTTTCTCCCACATATACATTATCATCGTTGGGAACTGGACTACCGCTTCGTATAAGGTGTAATTCACCTTGAGGTTGCAACTCATATTCGCCCTCTAACAGACTAGTTGGAGAATCAGTTAAATAGTTTTCGCTTTCTTCTGTAGCGTACGATGAAACAGACTTTCTTATATTTAAATGTTCGTTTAGAAATACCAGCTTTTCGTAATACCACAGCGATGGTATGTAGATCTGAAATGATACCTAATTTATATTTTCTGTACATAACTAACAGTTTTAACTCACGTCTTCTGACCCAGCCCCACTACGAGAGCTTGCAATGGATTTCCTTCGTTCACTGGCATATGTATTTCTAATACCATTCCATTTCTTCTGGATTTCATGTATGGAAGTATTTGGACGTATTTGATTCATTTTTTCGCAAATTTGTTGTAACGCAGCATTTCTTCGGTTTTTATTATGATAATCGCGATGTTGAACAAAGTATAAACACTCGTGCTGTTGGTATTGCTCAATCAGCAATGAAACCTGATCATTTGACCACGACATCGCGACATAAAAGAGTTCTTGGCGGTTGATACAATTTCAAAATGTGTTTTGTAAAATATTTACATATAGGTTATGAGCAAGGTCGATATCCACTGAAGTTAGTTCTTGAACAGCTGACTGTTTATTAAAGCAATACGCATGCTCACATCTGAAATATTACCAAAATTTGTATGGGAATAGAACAAGTTCTATTTTTCATCACATTTTGTATACATTTTGATATGAAAGCTATTAATTATAATTATAGGTCTATAATCTAACTCATTTATTTAATTATAAAGGTTTAAAAATGAAATGGTTAGTACTTTAGTAGGTAGTACAAAAATTTGCTCGCGAGCATGAAATGGAATACGCCGCAGCCCGGAATTATTAAAATAAATGCACTGTTGAACGAAATGTTTTTACCAAATTATTTACAGCTTTATTTACAAATTTTTGCTAAGGTGCGCTAAGAACTTATATCATTTTCAAATTTTTGAGATCTAAGCGCAAATAGTAGAATTCGGTGCTACATCCTAGATACTCATATAGGATGTAGCAAAGACACAACTATTCTTTCCAATTTTTTGAAAATTCCTAACCGAAGACGGCGCATGCCTAAACGAGGGTGCAAAGAAAATTGCGACAATTTTTGACATTCCCTATTCAATTTCGTACAAGGTCAATTTATTATTTTTAGAGAAAATAGGTATTTTTACTTATTTGGGAAGATAAAGCACTTGGTAATACAACGAAATTAATCGCGGTAAACGTCAGCAACCGAGAAAGCTGAATATGAATTGAATACAAATGCTAAAAACCCAGTTCTATAAATTACAGATATCAAATTACAGCGATCGTCCTCGGTATATTATTATCTCGACAGTTGCGCCTTATCTGTTTATTTTTACGTTCGAATATGGTAGGTCGCGGAATCTTGTGGTGGATAGCGACACTATTCTAATATTGCGGGCGGTGCGGGGAGTGATTTCCAAATTCTTCAATGTAAACACCACCTTAAGGTAAGAGCGCTATAGTTGAAGTTTTTATAAAGCAACGATTCAAACTTGGTGGTTGTAAGTTCTGGAATAATTCCAGTTAAATACAAAAGCAAGTACAAATGAAAATAAGCTACACACCCACTGCACCCACCGACCTTATTTTTATGTCATAATTCAAAAATGGCAATAATAAATAGTATGTTGTGTTAAGAGCGCAAATGATATATTGTCGATTGAAATCGACAATCAATCTTGCGCTCGAATTAACACACAAGATTTTTTCTACAATCGAGCAGTTCAAATATTTCAAAACTTAAATTTTTCACTCAATCATTTTAATGCTTTATGCCCAAATGAAAGATTGTCATTTACTCGTTGTCATTGTTTACTCCATTGAATTTTATAACTATCAGAAGCGCAGGTTAAATGGCAGGATATGTGACTGTTTTCAATAGTTTAAATTACAAGACGTAGATGTCTCTACCATCGAGAAAGATGAATAATAATGTCAGTTTTTTTACCTTTGTTAATTATTATACAGGAATCTGTAATGAACCCACTATCTCGATTTGTAATTGTTGTATACAGAATTCTAGATACCCAAGAAACGTACTTATAAGGCATTTTATGTGGCACACAGGATGTTGAATGACGTAAGATAAACATTCTTCCTTTCATGAATCGTGACCTTACTTAACATTCCTTAAGGAAGATTGAATTACATTTGAGCAGGAAAGCAAAAAATACGCAGGCATCCTTGATCACTGTAACAGAAATTAAATGTACCTACCTATCTATTCTTAATTTTTGTGTGTGTCGGTTAAACCGTTGCCACCTCAGAGGAATAAATAAAT